ACCCTAGCCAAAATGCAGGGGTGCGGGGTAGGAAATCCTTAAGCCTTGACTCTCAGGGAGCAGTTCCGCATCACGGCTCCACCGGGTTACGCCTGGTCCTGGAACGTCTTCAACATCTTTGACACCTTCATCTACAGGCTGGGTTTAGGGTTTAGGGTCGAGGGGTTAGGAAATTTGATTTCAGGGCTTAGGGAGAGGATGTTGCTGAAGTTCGTCGACTTTGCTTCGCATCTTGTCATCGTGCTCGTCGTTGCTGCGGTTGCTGCCTTTCGGCCGCCGACAGTTGATGATGTCGCCTTTGCAAGTGCTGTTGTGGCTGATGGCTGCTGTTGTGTCCCTGTGTCAGTCTTAATACGTTTCGCGGGCTGGTCTGCCGGTCTTTGCGGCCGTCGTCCTCCTGCTGTAACGGTTTAGGGTTTGGGGCCTTTCGGGTCTACTACTGCCTCCGTTGCCGTCTGCGCCCCCACACCGACACAATGCTGCTGCCAAAAGACGACCGCGACCACTGCTAGCATCAAGGGAACCTGGAGGATCATGGGACCTAGTAAGTAAGGTTATAAGTACCCTAGCTGGAGTTGTAAGAAGTTACCCTAATTATAAAGCTAGTTACTAAGTCCCATGATCCTTTAAGAACCGCTATCATGGGGCGACTCTCTGATCTGATCGTTAAACTTGACATCTCGGCGCCCTGCTCTCTTTGCAAGGTTCCTCCCGGGACAGCCAAAGGCTCAGAACACCCAGCAGAGTAATATAGGGACCCTAGGTAATTATTGAGGCTCCTACTTTCAGGAGATTAGAGGGTGTTGCTATCTGGCGAGGAGGGTTTTAGGATCTAGGAATTTGTGATTTTAACTCAACTTGGGGGCCTCGTTCCTGGGATTTTGGGGAACAGAGACTCTTGGCAGCTGGGATGCAGAACCCCTGTCTGGTGCTTAGTCGGGAATGGGGGATATGATCCTCCCTTGAGAGTCCCTTATAGTAGTCCCTATAACCCATTCCCCGATTCCCTACTAAGAACCAGACAGGAACGCTTGCGTTTGGTCTGGTCCGGATTTGTGACCTCATGGTTTGGGACTTCAGCTTTATTCGCAGCTCATTCGGATACTCTAGGGGCCTTAATAATTGGAACAGGGTTTTGGGGTATATTGTACTATAACTATAATAAGGAACCTCCCAAAATCAGTTTTTTTCGTTGCAGTGTTCTTACACCTTACATGACTGCACTAGCGCTACTAAACCGCAAGCTTGAAGCCCCAAACTCTCCATCCCTCGAAGCCCAAAAGCTCTAAACCCTCAGCTACCAAGAACCTCTCAACCAAAAGCTTTTGGGAGTTTCCTAAACTAGGGGACCTTAGTATAGTACCCTAAATAGTAGGATCCTTATTATAAGGACCCCTAAACAAGGTACCCCCAATTTTCGGAAACTCCCTACCATAACCCTACTACGAACCCTTATAGATCCCTTATAGTAACCCTGTAAAGGGACCCTTAGGTACCACCCTAATATTTCGGAAACTCCCGTTTGAGCTCCGCTGCATCCGAAATAACCTGAACTCCAGAGTCCAGACCCCGCAGCTGGCGTTATTCAAACCAGCTCCCAATTTCTCATGTACCCAGAGAGCCCAATACCCCTTAATTAAGGAATCTAGCTTAATTAGCTTAAATCATAACATTAAGCCCTATATAATTTAAGCCATATTCCTTTGTTAAGGGGTATTGGGCTCTCTGTTAGGGGTTAGAAGTTAGAAGGGCCCCCAACCTGTAATAGTGGTATAATAGGAATATAGTAGGGCCCGAATATAATCCTGAAAAATCCCTATTACAGACCTGGTAGTCCAAAACTCAAGAACCCTAAACCCGAAACCCAGGCCCGAAACCCTAAACTTCAAGCCCTAGTGTAGGGGCTTAAATAAATACTATTTTGAGGGTTCCTTACTATAATCATAGTACAGTATACCTTAAAAACCCTGTTCTAACTATCAAGGCCTCTTAGGCCCTTCCAAGGACAGCGGAGCTTCCAGGAGGCGTGCCGCCCTTCCCCACGGAGAACCCAAATGTCATCGTCTGGACCACCTACGACACGTGCGCCTCCACTTCCGGGTTCAGGGTTGAGGATCGAGCTTGCGTGATGCAGTGCAACTTCACACTGAACCAGCTTGGATGCAGCCTAAAACTTACAAGCTTCAACCAGAAGGCGGAGAAGTGTAGGCCTCGGGAGGCATGACTTTGAGGGAGTTTACGGGCTCAGGCTAGATCCTTCCTTTTCCGCAGTTTGCGAGTTAATCGGTGACCGCTGGTTTTGTTGCATATTGTTGCGTGCCACCAGGGCCCCTCGCTACTTCTCCGGAAGTCCGGCAACAGTTGCAGGCGGCACTACTGCTTCACGACGAGCCGTCGTGGTGGAACTACGGGGAGCGGTGCCCGCACCCGCAAGTCTTTCCACATCCGCATCACCGGAGGGTTCCTCGCTGAGTTAGAGGCCTTTTGCACTGCTGCTGGAAGCGCAGGGATTGGACCCGCCGAGCGCGAGAATTTGGAGATCTGTCGTGGCTACATCGCCCGACTCGAAGCTGGGGAGGTTCCATTGCAGCACGCGCCTCTTCCGGCCTTCGTGCCAGCTACATTCGGAGGTCCATTGCTTTCCCCTGCACCGGCTGTAATTCTTGTAGTCACTGCTGAGACCCCTGGTATTCCTTCTGCTCCTTCTGGCTCTTCTGGGGCATCCGATCTCAGCTTGCGTGACTCGGCACGGGCTTTAGGAGATTCGGAGGTTGAGGGTAAGGGTACGTCGCCCAGTGCACGGAACTTGCCACCCCCCTTCCCTAAGGCTAAGATTAGACCCGTAGGCATCGCGCCGACGGAAGCTCCCGATCTTGGACCTTATGTCCCAAGTGGTCGTCGAGCGGGTGTCACGTGGGAGAACCCATTGCCGGGGTCTATAGGGATTAAAGATGTGTGCAGGTCTTGTCTTGTGCAGACACTAGTGGGTTGCCAGACCTTTCTCCTGAAGCCGCTTTCGCGAAGAGCTTTCAACCATCGAAACCCTAAAGAATACTGTAGGGGCCTTAAAATTTAGAATCGGGTTTTTGTGGTTCCTCAGTATGATTATAGTATAATGTAAATATCCCCCAAACCCCTATTTCAATTAGTAAGGCCCGGATATTACCCTAATCTCGGAATCGGAACCTGTGGCCCACCGCCAATGTCCCACATTGGGCCCTACAGCTTCCGCTGAACTGTCTGGTGCTTCGTAGGGGATGGGGGAATGGATCCCTATGACCTTGAGGGTCCTGTATCGTAGTCCCAATGCCCCATTCGCCCATTCCCCATTATAGTAACCGTTTGAAGGTACATGGCGGGTGAAGCCTACAAGCTGCGAACTCTTATAGAGGCCTCGAGGGCTGCGTGGGACCTACAGCTGCTAGAATTAGCAGCTGAAAGGTTTTAGGTGTCTTGTTTAGGGTCGAGGGCTGAAAGATAAGCTTAATAAAAACCTGCCTATCATAAGCTCATATTCTAGACCTTGTTATAGTGTTCATGCGGATACCATGGATATAGAACGGGCTCTCCGCATGATCTCGCTTGAATCTCCGTTCCCAGGAGTTGGAGCCGGAAGAGACCGAAAGTCTGAAACCCAAAGCCCCCACGATCCTACAGCCCAGATGGATCCAGGATTGAAGCTACATCTATCTTACTCCACATGAATGCTCAAGCTCGAGCATTTCAGATTTTTGGGTTTTGTTCTTTCAGCTGGAGTTTAGGGCTTGCTTTGCAGTTGATGCTTTCTGGTCCAGGGCTTTCTTTTCGGGTTGCGGCCAGGATCGAGGGTCGGCATGACGGCACTACAAGTACCCTAAACCCTAAGTCCAATTTTCTTGTATTACTAGGATGCCCAGTAGTACCCTTATTCCCTTTTTGTAGTCCTAGGTTCCTTATAAAGTTACCCAATACCAAAAAGAGAGTTCCTTTTATTCTTAGGCTACTGGGTATCCTAGATTATGTTGGGCCTTACTGGGGTTTTAAAGTCTTTGCGCTAGGGTTTGCTGGTCTCTAAACCCTAAAACAAGTACATAGATCCCCTATTTCCCTAAACCCTCAACCCAAGACCATCCTGAACCCTAGACCCCAAACCCCCCCATTTAAAACCCACGGCGCCTCGAGCCGAGGACCGGCACAGAGCCGAAGCCCGTGGCCTCGAGTGGCCGGGCACCCCGGGTTTAGGGTTTGTAGGGCTTGGGGTTAGGGTTTAGGGATTGGGTTTAGGGTTTGGGGCTTTGGTTCAGGGTTTGGGGATTGGGGTTTAGGGTTTAGGGCTGTGGTTTAGGGTTTATTAGCTTAGGGTGTGGAGTCAAGAGGGTTAGTTTAGGGTGTAGAGGGCTTAGGGTTTGGGGCTCAGGGTGTAGAGCTTGAGGTGCAGGGTCTAGGCTTTAGGCATTGTTTTTTAAGATCCCCACATACGCATACTACATGCTGCGCCCAAACCGTAGTGTGAGGGGTGGAGAGTCGAAGGTTCAGAGCTTGCCATAGTGAGGTGAACCACGTGATGTTTCCGTTTAGCCCCTATTGAAGCATACAGTAGTATAATTACAACGAAACCGTCGTCTGTAGGGTTTACGGTTCAGGGCTTGCCATAGCCTGAACCATAACATGTGTTCTACCCACATAATATAAGCGTACTAACTATACTACATCATACCACCTGAGGGAGGGTTTAATGTCTAGGGCTTGCCACAGCGATCTGGACCGAATAATGTTTCCTGTTTGAAAACGTTCGCTTTTAAAATGCACTTCATCAAAAAGGCGACCCAAGCCAACCAGTCAACTTATCGCTGGGGCACCTATCCCGTGGTTTTTGGGGACAGTTATCATGAACAACTCTGAAGACCCCAGTTGGTAGTTGCAGCACAGACACCCCCCTGGCCGCACTGTGGACTTCTGACTTTCACAGGCAGTTTCAGCAACTTCAGGGGTACCTAGAAATAAATTCTAATCTTCAAGCAATGGCCATATCTCCGAGCGTCTGTTCTCTACCGCAGGGATGTGGTGGACCATTCCTGCAGATTGGGTTCGGTGTTGCGTGGACGAAAGGACGAGCTCTGGCTTCGAAACTCCGAGGAAGGGAGGGCGGCTGCTGCCTCCTTGCTGCCAGTGCCGTACTTCTTGGGAGACACAGAGCCTTGAGGTCGAGGAGCTCGGTGGTCCTTGGATGCAAGGCGCAGGAGTGGACCGAGCTGCTGGTGGACGGAGATTCGCATTCACGGGACGATATTTCTTGGGCTTTGCAGAACCTGCGCTCACGTGGCCAGCCGGTGAAGACGACGATTTTCGCCGCACCGGCCCGGCTTCACAATGGCAAGTGGTATGATTTCGTGCGAGAGCAAGGGCTGCGGTTCCATGGTGTGCAGAGGGCCACGGGTTACAAGGATCCCAACGACGAAGCGATCGTCGGCTGCATGAAGAAGCTGGTCATGCTTGCTGGTGTGAGCCGAATAGCTCTGCTAACATCAGACTCTGACTTCTTGCAAGGCGCACAGCATGTTTGCGAGGCTGGCGGGAAAGTCGTGGTGCTAGTGCCCGAATCCCAGACGGGCACACGGAAGACTTACGCCGACGCAGGCCTCGAAGTCGTTCCCATCGTCCGAACTGGGGCCAGGCAGTGTCCAAGAGTGAAGGCCTATCTCCATTCCGATGGCACGGGATCCCTGGAACGGTGCGAGCCGGTCCAGCCCCCATTGGTTCGAGGAAGTGGCCAAGCTGCATACCTTGCTGGAGCAGCTGGGTCTCTGGCAAGGGCCAGATTCAAAACTCTCCACCTGCATTGCCAAATGCTGGTTCGCCAACTCCCTCGGCACGCTCACCCTCTTCCCCTTTCATTGCGCTATCTCGGAGCTCCACCAAGCACTTTCCGCAATCAAGGGCGACTGCAGAAGAATCTCCTCCCCTCCACTCGCCTTCTTCTTCCCGATCGGCAGTGGCACGCCGACGTCGAAGCAAAAGACTACCTTTGGTGGAAGTCGGGCCGCGAGCATTTTTCAGGGAGGTGGGTGGTTGTCAAAATTAGGGTCCCTTTTGGGGTCCCTATTACAATACGGCACTTATCATTTAGTGTACCCAAAAAGGGACCCTAATTTTTACAACCACCCGGGTGGCCCCTTCATGCTGCATGATTCGGACTCTTTGCCTTCGAGGCTTGTGAGGAGATTGGGCTACTTCGACGACCACCTGAATGCAGACCTCCGGGAGGCCATGTTGGTTTCTCTGCCATCGTTTTTGTAACATTTTTTCACGTTTATGGATACTTTAGCGAAAGAAGGAATAGAAAAATCACTTTTGACACTATGCCAACCCTAAACCCCTAAACCCCTTACCCCTAAACCCCTAAACCCCTAAACCCTAAACAGAAAACCCCTAAACCCCTAAACCCGAAACCCGAAACCATGGACCAGGTGTTTGCAAACATGCAGGGCAACAAGCGGCTCCTGCGGGAAGCTCGGTCTCTTCCGGACCCCGAGGACCTTTGCACGACAGGGCCTAGCAAATGGAGGTTGTAGCACTCCCCAAGGCTCCGAAGAGGGTCTTGGGCTTTCGGTTTGGGATCTCACTACGAGGTCCAAGAGCCTTAGGGCTAATTACAGGGGCCCTTCATACCTAGAACAGGGCTTTGAGGGCTTCCTTATTACATAATTATAGGATAATATACTACGCCCAAGCCCTGTTCTAGCTTTTTAGGCCCCAATATTAGGGGTTACGGTTCTCTGAACAGGGCTCTTAGACACGGAGTCCCAAAGTCAGCTAATTACCTCAAACTCTAAACCCTAAACGTGCCTGGACAATGAAACCGGTGCCCTCAACCGTGGTTTGGGCTTCCGATCAGGACGGCATCGGAGAACTCTCGGGCTTGCTACGGCAGGCCTTTGTCTCGAATCTGGGCAGTTGTTAAGCAGCATACCCTTTCCGGCAAGCATGTTAGATAACAGCTCCGCACTATGGCCATCTTGCTTGAGTTCCTTGCAAACGCGATGACACCCCTGCAGCATCCTCCGTATGGTAACTTCGGATGTACATGCTATTAACGAAAATCCCAGGAACGCTTGCTCTGGGCACTGGCAACTGCCGCCGAAGGATGTGGACGTGGGGTTGTCGAAAGTCACACAAGTTGGGCGCGCGGAGTCTCTATAGGTCTGTAGGGTGTAGCTACGCTTAGCCCTAAACTTTAAAGCCGAGATCAGAAGGAGTAGCTCAAAGCAACCGCACAGGCAAGAGGGATGCTGGTGAGGAAGGGCTACCTGGAGAGCCCCCATCAAAGCGAGTCCGACGTCCTCGAAACTGGGTCCTTTTAGGATATATTTTTCCCCACATCACTGTGGGGTTTTTGTTTTTGGCGCCTGCACCGCCGCAGCGTGCAACCTCCGACCGCCCGCCCCCCCCACAAGACAACACCACACCACACCACACCACACCACACCACACCACACCACACCACACCACACCACACCACACAACACCACACCACACCACACCACACCACACCACACCACACCACACTACACCACACCACACCACACCACACCACACCACACCACACCACACCACACCACACCACACCACACCACACCACCACACCACACCACCACACCACACCACACCAGACCACAAAGAGTCTTCCGGAGGCTCTCGGAGGGCTCTTGGAGGGCTCTTGTGGGATCAGGCGCGCGCAAAGGGGTCCTGCACTTACGAAGAGTCTTCCTGAGGCTCTCGGAGGGCTCTTGGAGGGCTCTTGTGGGATCAGGCGCGCGCAAAGGGGTCCTGCACTTACGAAGAGTCTTCCGGAGGCTCTTGGAGGGCTCTTGGGGGGCTCTTGTGGTATCAGGCGCGCGCAAAGGGGTCCTGCACTTACGAAGAGTCTTCCGGAGGCTCTTGGAGGGCTCTGGGAGGGCTTCTTGTGGATCAGGCGCCTCGCTAAAGGGTCTTGCTTCTTAGAGAGTCGTCGGAGGCTCTTGGAGGGCTCTTGTTGGATCAGGCGCGCGCTAAAGGGGTCCTGCTCTTACGAAGAGTCTTCCGGAGGCTCTTGGAGGGCTCTTGGAGGGCTCTTGTTGGATCAGGCGCGCGCTAAAGGGGTCCTGCTCTTACGAAGAGTCTTGGAGGGCTCTTGTTGGATCATGCGCGCGCTAAAGGGGTCCTGCTCTCGGGAAGAGTCTCCCGCGACTAAAATCCTCTCCTCTGAGGGCTC